TAAATTAACATTAATAAGTAAATTAACATAAATAAGTAAATTTGTTACATAAATGAATTATCAAAAGAATTATCGTCACATAAATGAATTATCATACGAGCATTTTTTTTTTAAAGAAAATGATTTAAAATTTTATAAAGATAAAATTTTGCGCTAACTTGTGGCAAACTTATTTATCAAGAAAATTTTAATTTATTTTTAGGTTCCATTAAGTTCCATTTATTTGTTATTACTAATTGATATATCGATAAATATACCGACATTTAAACATTATGTAATATTTAGTTATTTTAATAGAGATATAAAAAATGTTTTCTATTAAAATTAGAACATAAGAGTTGCTTCCATAAAGTTCAAAACTGTGTGAGTATGAAGTGTTACAACATTAGAGTATGATAATAGCTACCGTATGAAGGCCATTTTTAATTTTTCTTCATAATAACTAAATATCTTTTTATTATAATGCTTGGTATTTAGTATCAGACTTTTGTTTTTTCATTCATATTGAACTAATATTTAGATAAAACAAAAAAAAGTCAAAATACGTCATTATATAATAAATGCAATTTAAATTTCCAGTTTAAGAAAAAACTCCATATAAAGAAAGGCCGAATTCAGTTAGTTTGGCTACTAATAAGTTTTACAAAGTGCACGTTTAAAAAGAATCGTATATTAAATTTTTATAAACTAAAGTTTAATAGTAAAACAAAGTAAAACTGTTATACAGGCTAGATTTAAGGTTAAAGCACCGAGCTATTGGCGAGTCGAGTTTTGTAAAACTTACGGAAATCCTTATTTATATATCTTTAATCTTGATATCCTCGTGTGTGCTTTGATTAAAGTCTTATTATTTGATTTCTTATAGATAAAACAACAGTAAGATAATGTCAAGGCAAAACTAAAAACCTTTTAATTATTCCCCATACATATCCCCTCCTTAAAACCGTTGCTGAGTAAAATAATGTCAAGAAAAGTAAGATAATGTCAAGAAAAGTAAGATAATGTCAAGAAAAGTAAGATAATGTCAAGAAAAGTAAGATAATGTCAAGAAAAGCTTTTCTTACAGCACAATAAACGTGCAATAAACTGGTGTTAGGTTTTGTTAAAATAAATTAATACTTTTTATAAGAATTTATCATAACATAAATATTAATTCCGATTGAGGCATTCGTAATGGTTTAAGCTTATGCAAGGTTCTAAAAATAGTTTTCTTGTACATAGATTTACGCTTAGGTCAGTTTTTTAAAATTGTTCAGCATGCTAAGTGCTAGTTTGTTTTAAGCAGCGTCCTTGCAGATACGCCAGTTTGAAAATAAGCAATCACGCTTAGATAACTGTGTTAAATATGTAACTCTAAAAAATATTAAACATTGATTGTGTAGCTTTTCTAATGAGCAAATGAGTTTATCTTTTGTTGCGTATTTGTGTGGAAAAAAAAAAGAAAAAAAATCTTAAATAAATTGAATTTAAATAAATTTTTATAAATATTTATTACATGTTAGTAGAGTTTTTTAACATAAATATTTATAACATGTTAGTTAGTAAGAAAAAACTGAAGTTAAAATAGAGGAGAAATTTTAGGTTTCGTAATTAAAGGTATATCAGAAAATATAGTTGTTTAAAATGAAAAAACTGACAAGGTACTACTATCTATGGAAATTATAACTACAGTGCTTTGAACTAATGGAAGAAAAACTAAACTGCATTCAAACAAAAAAGATTTTTGACAAAAAAGATTTTTAACAAACATTTAAAAAGTTTATCAACACAGAGTTGATCTCAATGTCAAAAATAAGGTCTTCGTGAAATTTATAGTTGTTCAATACTACTGCAATAATACTACAATGCTTGAGTAATTTTTTACTCATATAAAACTTTTTTATAATTATCCTTTAAACATTGTTTGACCCCAACCAAAGAGTGTTGAATGTATCTGCTGAATGTTATAATTTCCCAGTCTGACAATATAATCACATTTCTGAATGGAACTATGTCTTGGCTAGCAATAGTTTTTCATATTAGTTTCTTTATCTAGATGATCAATAAAAAAACTCACGTAAAGCGGCTGAAATATGACTATTTCTGTTCTATCGAGCTCATATATCAAACCAAAATATATATATTAAACAAAAATACTGTGATAGTAATTGTATAGTATTTTGCTCTAACTTTGTTTTGTTATTAGATGCAAGATGCTAGTTATACTTTTGGATTTGTACTTCTAATAACTATTAAAACTAATAGTTTTTACAATAATGTAATGTTGATTGCATGTATTGTAATTGTATTGTATTGTATAATGTATTGTACTCAATATAATTGAGTACAATACATTGAATATAATTCAAAAATATAATTCAAAAAATTAAAGTATTGTTTAAAGGAAGGAATTCAACAATAATCTGACAACTCGTTTTTTACACTGTGCTTAGTCATTGTGATTGTGAAGATCCTGAACCTGACTTGGAGTAGTTATAAGAAGTTACTTTTGTAAGCAGTACTTTAAAACATTGAACCAGAGAATTTTTTTTAAGAAATGCATATAAAAAAATATACCTGAAAAAATAATGAATATTAAAGTTAAAAATTCAATATATTTGCAGATACTAGTTGGTGACTGAGTTAACACTTCACTGAAGATTCAAACAGAACACAAACATTGCGACATTAGAATTATCTTGTACTGTACCTCATAATAATGTTTTTCTACTTTATTTCAACCTTAGTTATAAGTAAAAAGGGAAACAAGATAAGTCATAAATAAAAATGATGAATGCCATCTCCTAAAGTTTTATTTTTTAAATATAAATCTTAAACTCAAAAAAGTTGAAATAGAATAAGATAATTCTTACGTCTCGATATACTAATTAACGGTTGAGTATACACCGCGCCAAAGGTTTGCACAGAAAGTAATATATATATATATATATATATATATATATATATATATATATATATATATATATATATATATATATATATATATATATATATATATATATATATATATATATATATATATATATATATATATATATATATATATATATATATATATATATATATGTATATATATATATAAAATAACTTCTAAAAAGTAATGTTAAAGAATTAAAATTTAAAAACATTTAAATATTAAATGTTAATAAACATATTCTTATTATTGTTTTGTATATTTTATGTCAAAAAATAATTATATTGTTAAAAAGAATAGTTTTATTACTAGAAAAATGAAAAAAACAAAAAATAATAATTTGAGGTAATAATTTGACCACGGACTGTATATAATGTGAATTTCAATTACTGAAAATTTATTTATAGAATGCATCAATATTTCTGCAGTCCTAACTCTGGTTTTGCTTTATTAAAAACAACTTTGACTTTAGTCAAATATTTGCCCAAGTCATTTACTACCTAAAGTGCTTAATTCTAAGCTTACATCATTGTCATTTATTTGACATATTCTTTTTTTTTTCTAGATTTTGATGAAGAATTTTTAAAAAAAAATATAAATGCTTGTTGCTTGCTTACCTTAGTTTTTAAAAAGTTTTTCTCAAATCGAGAAAACTTGAGGATATTCAGCAAAACTTTTTTAAATGAAGCCATTTAAAGTTCACCTGACTTAGGATTATGATTTTTCTAAAACCATAATCGGTTAATTAAATGTTACTTTCTTATCTTTAATTGAGTCGGTATACCCTTGTTTACTATTTAAAGTTTTGTAAAATGTTGCAAATAATTTTAAAACATAAATCAATTTCTTTCGAAACTTTGTCAAACTATTAGTGTTAAATTTAATTTTTTTACTCAATACTTTTATTTATTTTTAAATTCGACATTTAGTATGACATGGAAGTTCTTATTTTGCAAACAAATTATTTCAGTAAAACTGCAAATTATCATTTTATTGAATCATACGCACGAAATCACTAAGTATTAAGGGTGTTCAAAAATTAGGTCATAGAAAAATTTTCACTAACAAATAAGCAATTTTTTGCGGACTATAATAAAGAAATGAAAAACTGTTTTTTGTTTTAATTATTTTTTACCTCGCGCTAGCTTCATAAAATTTTCAAAAAAAATCATTTTTTTATAAATTGCATAATATACAAGGAAAAAAAATAAAAAAACTGGATACTATTTTAACAAATGAATGTTTATGTTACTTAAAAGACATATACCAAAAATTATCACTATAGGTTCATTTTCATGCGTTGCGCCAGACCTGTAACCATTGTGACACTTTTTACCGGTTGCAACCAATCGGTCAATGAAATCCAGGTTTTTCCGGAGAGCGGTCTTCTGATGAAGATAGAACTCGGATTTTTTAATGTATGCTCAAATAAAGTATGAAACAAAATAATCAGCAGTGTATTTTGATTAACCACCTAAAAAAAAAAAGGAGGGGGAGGGGGGAAAGCCGATCTCAGTCAATCTCTGTAAAAGAAAAGGAAGGGTCGGGGAGACATTTCTCAACCCTTTTTGGTTATTTCAATTTATCCATATTTTCTCATTATTAGAAATAACCAGAGCCGTACCAAGAGCGGGGCCAGCCGGGCCGCGGCCTGAGGCGCCAAAATTGGGAGGGCGCAAAATTCCCCAAATTAATTTATTTATTTTCACATTATGAAACTAATTTGCGTGGCGTCACTTTTATGTTGATAAGAAAATTAATTAAAATTGCGCCTCCTGACGAACTTTAAAATAAAAGCTCATTTACCAAACAGAACAGCCCTTAAACACTAAAAAGTTGTATTTTCTGAACATTATTTTTTACAATGAATCGTGCAAAAAAATTATCTGGTGCTGAATTTAAGAACGACAATTAAAAACCAATAATTATTTATAATATAAACAAATGATTCATTAAGGATCATATAAATTAATTTAACGCACACATTAAAAATTATTCTAAAAAGAAAAAAATATAGAAAAAAAGAGCTTCGAATTTAAAAAAAAGAACGCTTAATTTAAGCGGCTTAAATAAAGAATCAAATGAAATGAAAGCTAAAGAAAGTAAAGTAAGCAAATAATAATAAAAATAAAGAGGGAGAAGAAAAGAAAAAAGAAAAAATAAATAATAGAAGAGCGCAATTAAAAAATAAAAAGTTGTATTTTCTGAACATTATTTTTTACAATGAATCGTGCAAAAAAATTATCTGGTGCTGAATTTAAGAAGAAAAGAAGAGACCGTCTTGAAAGTGACGCAAAACTAAGAAATTGTTTCAAGAAGTGGTTGGTAATAAACTCTTCTGTGGAAAAACAAATTATTTCAGAGGGTATTTGCGATGAAGTTGATAATGATTCAACAGCTGAAGTTGCTGCTACATCTTTAATTACTGACTTAAATTCATATCATCCATTGGAATTAATTGAAGAGGAGATTTTGATTGGCCAAAGTCAAGACGAATTTGGACCAAATGATTCAGAAGCACAAAAAGATAGAAATTCTCAGCTTTCCAAACCAATTAAAATGGGCGACAGTGAATTTCCTCCTGAAATCTCAGAAATTTCAGCAACCTCAGGAGAAAACTTTCAACACAGTGATCCAGCTACATGGCCTAAAATGACAGATAAAACAAGGTGCTTTTTGATTCAGCATGGGCCGGAGCAAGAAAGAAGAGAATTTTTCCCAAACACACTTTGTGACTTTGACAACAGAATGCGACACTTCAGCTCAAAATGGTATGAAAAAATTCATCCCAATGGTGAAAAATTTGTTCGCTACTGGCTGCTGTACAGCAACAAAAAAGATTCTTTGTTTTGTTTTTGCTGTCTGCTATTTTCAACGACAAAAACCAACAATTTTTCAGAAATTTCAAAAGGATTTTGTGACTGGAAAAAACTAAACCCAAGAATTCCAGAACACGAAAACAGCAATGAACACCAAAGATGCTATTCTGATTGGAAAAATCTGGAAAAAAATCTCAAGGAAGGAAAGACCTTGGATTCTGATCTTCAGAGAGTTATCAACGGAGAGATGAAAAAGTGGAGAAATATCTTGAAAGTGATTGTTGATGCAATTTTGTTCTGTGCCAAGAACAATCTTGTCCTTCGGGGTTCAACAGAAGTAATTGGAGAGCAAAACAGTGGCATCTTTCTGAACTTAATTGAGCTGATAAGCCATTATTATCCTTTAGTGACTGAACACGTTGCATCCGTTAAGGCAAAGAAAACCACAACATCCTACTTTTCTCCTCGAATTCAAAATGAGCTGATTGAATTACTTGGGCAGAAAGTCAGGAATGAAATTTTGTCAAATGTCAGAGAAGCTAAATACTACTCTGCTTTGTTTGACTGCACTCCAGATGCCTCCCACAAAGAGCAGATGACCCAAATAATCAGGTATGTCCACATCACTGAGGAAACCTGTACAATTGAGGAAAGCTTTGTGGACTTCATTGAATCTCACGAAAAAACTGGAAAGAGCTGAAATTACCGAAAAACTGGAGAAGGATGGCCTGAGCATTTCTGATTGTCGGGGCCAAGGTTACGACAATGGAGCCAATATGTCTGGAAAATATAATGGCGTCCAAGCTCACACCCATTCTCTAAATGAGTTTGCAAGATTTGTTCCATGTGCAGCTCACACTTTAAACCTTGTTGGTGTCCATGCTGCTGAAGTTTCTCCACTCATGATTACATTCTTTGGAAAAGTTCAAGCCATCTTTAACTTTTTCTCAAGTTCTACCTTAAGATGGGAAAAACTGATGAAAACATTGACCATCTCACTAAAGGGAAATAGTGATACAAGATGGTCTGCCAAAAAAGAAGCAATCACCACACTACACAGACAAATCAAAGAAGTTCTTCAAGTTTTGGAACCCATAATTCACACTCCCAAGACAAATGCTGTCTCAGTTTGCAGTGCAAAAGAGCTCATCATTCAAATTGATTTCAGTTTTCTGTGTTTGTTGGATTTTTGGTGTCAAATTCTTTCTTTAATTGACCGGGAAAACAAACTGCTTCAGTATAAAAACATTTCAATTGACATTGCAGCAAAAAAAATGAAAGGACTGAAGGCTTCCATTCAGAATCTGAGAGATGTTGGGGTGGACAACATTATCAAAGCTGCTGCAGAAACAGCTATCCAAATTGGAATTGAAGGAGACTTTCCTATGAAGAGAAAGCGCAAAGTGAAGCAGATGGCACTTTATGAAGCTGAAGATGACTTTTGCCGTTTGTCACCAGAAACAGATTTCGGATCCCAGTGCAACCTTGTGTTTGACAGCATTCTCACACAAATTGAGTGGCGGTTTGAAGCTATGTCTGCAGTATCCTCAGATTTTGACTTCCTCAGTGGACATTCTCTCTCCAAAAGTTCAGTGGATGAACTTAAGACTAAAGCCAAAAATTTGTCTAAAATTTACAAGGCAGATTTATATTTTTAAGATTTCCAGTCAGAAATGGCAAGCTTTAAATATCAAGCTGCTGCCATGATGGAAAACTTAGAAAAATCTAGCCCGATGGACATTTTGCAGCTCATTCATAAATACTCATTGACTGATGCTTATCCTAACACGGCAATTGCTATTCGCATCTTCCTCACCTTACCAGTTACAGTTGCCACGTGTAAAAGAAGTTTCAGTAAACTTAAGATCATAAAAAACTATTTGAGATCAACTATGGGCCAAGAACGTTTGTCTTGTCTGGCAGTAGTTTCAATTGAACATGAAGTGGCCAACGCACTTGATTTTGATGATGTCATTAGTGACTTTGCCTCCAAAAAAGCCAGAAAAGTGACCTTGAACTGAAGTTTGTGAAACATTGGTGACAAATTGTTCTTTTAACTTGATAAATTTTGTGATCAATAATTAATTTTTTTTCATGTAAATATATATATATAATGTGTTTTTTGTATATTTTTTTGGAAGGGGGGCGCAAATTTATTTGCTTGCCCGAAGCGCAAAGTTGGCCTGGTACGGCCCTGTTTTTAGTCAGTGCTAAAAATTATTCTCCAATTTTATTTTTAAATTTATTCCTTAACATAAATAAAATAAAACTATTAGATTAAAAATAAAATCAAAAAGAATTTTTTTTTTTTTGATAACGGAAATATAGAAATCTGATGTTTCGAAACCTCGACAAAAAACATCAGTTAAGTTGTTAACTCTTGAGAATTTTCCGTGCATGATCCAAACGATCTTTTGTGCATGATCGTGCAAACGATCATGATCGTGCAAACGATTATGATCGTGCAAACGATCTTTTCTGTGACATTTGTGAAAACCTTCTCCTGCATTTTTGCCCAAAATTCCAACTGAATTTTTGGGCAAAAATGATAGGAATTTCATACCATGAATTTGTCTCATTAATGATTAAAACTGTTTGTAGACAATAATTTTCGAATTTGATTGAATAAATTGGAATTTGGTAGGACATAGATATAAATATCGTTTTTAAATAAATAAATAGTTTTGGATATAGATATAATTATATCTATGTCCAAAATTTCTGATAACAATTTTGGATCAGAAAAAGTTGTACTAACTGAAACGTGGAACAACACTTTGATTAAATTAGCATCAGTGTGACTCTTTTGATGCGAAAGGCTGTTTGCACGAAATTCGATGCTGCCCGAAATTAGCCAACTTACCCTAAATGTCTTTAATATTTTATGTATCATGTTTAAATGTAGAGAAAATTTGTCGCCAAAGGTATTACAAAATCTTTATTGTATGAAACCTTAAAACAAATATAATCTTCGAATTAATAACAACTTTATTGCCCTTTTTTTGTCATAAAAGCAAAGACCAGTTTTTGTTTCTTATCGAGGTCCTTATCTCTGGAACAAAATAGTCTAACCAAATTTTGACTTTTTCCACCCAGCTGACTTTTGCTTCATTCGAACAGAAACATAAAAAAATTATATTTTCAATTGAAAATATCTTGATTTATTTTTAATTGCTTTTTATGTTGTTGTTTATTTTGTATATTATTTGGTTTAACATTTTATCTTGGCTTTTTAACATTTTATCTTGGTTTTTAAATATTTCTGCATAAAGGTGTATTATTATTTCACTACAATAATTGTATTTTTATTAAAAATTAACTATGTATTGTAAAGGGCTTCATGACAAGATCCTCGTGATATTCTAGAAGTCCTGTCGTTACTCGTGTAAAATGACAGCTAGTTAACTATTTTTTGTTGATTTTTGCTTAATATATTTTTACCATTGTTTATTATTTAAAAGAGTTTGACTAGGGTGGGTTCCCTCCCTCCCCCCCTTTTTTTTTTCTTACGCAGTTAATCAAAATACACTGCTGATTATTTTGTTTCTATAAATTATTTAAGCATACATAAAAAAAATTAGAATTCTATTTTCATCCCACCGCCGGAAAAACCTGGATTTCAATGATTGATTGGTTGCAACCGGTAAAAAAGTGTCATCAATAGTTACAGGTCTGGCGCAAAGCATGAAAATGAACCTACAATGATAATTTTTAGTATATTTCTTTTAAGTAACATAAACATCCATTTGTTAAAATAGTATACAGTTTTTTTATTTTTTTCCCGGTATATTATGCAATTTATGAAAAAAAGTTTTTTTTTGAAAATTTTGAGGTAAAAATAAAATTAAAAAAAAAAAAAGTTTTTCATTTCATTATTAGAGTCCGCAAAAAATTGCCTATTTGTTAGTGAAAACTTTTCTATGACCTAATTTTTGAACACCTCTACTAAGTATATTATAATTAAAATATATATACAATTTAGGAATTTTTTATTTGTTTTGCAATTTATTCTTAAACGACTAAAATTACACAATATCATACAATTAATCATGATGTAACAACAACGGTGTACTAGCTTATTTTCTTACGTTAATCAATTTGATAAAAAAAAGTATAATTATAATACTGAGTAAAATTTAATACAACTCAGTTCAACAAACTCGAGATCACTTTTAGGAACAAATATTTCTTTTAACCAAAGATCAAGAACTATACCAGTGCTAAGTAAATCTAACGATTTGTCTATTTCAGGTGTGGCTACAATTATACAATCCTTGGGTAATGTTTTATGCAAAAATCGCCACAACTCATTTTGTTCTTCTACAGAAACAAACCATTCAAAGACATTATTTAAAACAACAACATGAGCGGATTTTATGATATCACTCTTATCAATCATATTACCTTCTACAATTTTGATTCGATTAGTAAGTTTGAATCTTGTAATAATTTCATTCTGCAACTTACACAACTCCGAATTCATTTCAATGCCAATAATACTTTCAGCTTCTGAATAAACGTAAGCGCCGTATAGAACTGATCCCAATCGTGATCCTATGTCGACTATAGTTTTTCCTTTTAATGAAGGAAGTGCATCCAGAAAAATGTATTGAAGGCGTTCCTTAGATGTCGAATGAGTAATGAAAGTAATTTTGTCAACATCAGCTGATCCACACGATTTGCAAAAATACCTGGTAAGTTTTCCTTCTTCAACCAAATCTTCGACATCATCATCGTCGTACAAAAATGCATCAACGTGTATACTGTTTTTGGAATGGAGATGAGAATCCTCTCCAACTGTTGGAAAACAAATTTTTTCACTATCCATTATGGCATCAAAAGGAACCTTTTCCTTGATAGCGCTTTTAATACAAGAAAGAAGTACTTCACCACTTTTTGCTATCTTTTTATGATTACAACTTATTTCGTTTTGATTAGTCAAATATTCACTAAGCCAATTAAAAAACGAAGTTTTTTCTAAGGGATCTTTTAACGAGTTTACTATAGAAAGAAACATTGCTGGTGCTTCATTCGCCATTTTTCTTGAAAAAAGAATATATAACTATTTCTATTTTAGTTTTTCTCTATAAAAATATTCAAAAAAAAAACTAATGAAATTAGTAAAACATTACTTATAACATTCCAAATGTTCCTTAGAATTGAAGAATATTAAATACTGTTACAAACAATTAAATAGAGATTAGAAAAAATATTTATATATGTATATGAAAATATAATATTTATATAACTAAAACAACTCATTAAAACATTATGAAAATTCATCATCGTTTATATCAAAGTCTAACATAATTTTTTCCATCAAAATCCAGCGATTTATAAATCCTATATCAACTATTCGCTTTTTCCAGGTGTCCACGCGGTTCCAACGATTTTCTATAGTAGAGCAGTGTTTTTCAAAAGCATCAAAAACTTCTGAATAAGGATTTATCATTATTAAGGAAAAAATGCCGAAATTCCATATCCTTAATCTTTCTTCAGAATAAAGCTTCATAAGTCTTTTAATTTCAGCGTTTGATTTTTTATTTCGAATTAAATCGCTTATACAAGAATGTTGATTGGATGCTTCTAGTAGGGTGTCTCTGTAACTTTGAAAATTTGGGTTATTTTTATATGCATAGAAAGAAAATCCTAAAACTGTTAAGTAACAACTGGCACGAATAGGCTTTGTACGTACGTACTTGTAAGTGTCAAGAAATGCTTGTTTGTAGTCATGATACAAAACAAAGACTTTAGCAAGACGCCCTTGTTTTAAACTCTCAAACTGAGGAAACAAAGCATGGTTGATTTTCCAAACTCTGCCCAAAATAGTCATTTATGTAACATACTTTACACTATGCGAAATAATTAGCTAAACAAATAGAATAATCGAATCATAAATTAACAATAAAGAATACTTTTATCATAAAAATTACGAATGTGTGATGTGTGAAATAAATGCATATAAAAATAATTAATAAAGTGACATCGTTTTTATTTTTAAAAAAATTATATTTTGTTATTAAGCAAAAAACTTGATTCTACATATTTCCCTGCAGTATTTAAATATAACATGGAAAAGTAACATAATAATAGCAATAACAAAAATAACAATACACTTAAAATTAAATAAATAAATATATAATTAACTTATAATAAACCATAGAAAAAAAAAAGAAGTTATAAATTAGTTTTGAATAATACTATCGTATTGTTTTTTGTATTAAATTCAAAAAAGCAACTATTATGTGAAGTGGGAGACTACCTATCGCAAGGCTAAAAATCTTATGCAAAATTTTAAAGCAATATAAAAGATTTAAAGAAATACTTTATAAAAAACGCTGAAACAAAAATTATTTAGAGAAATTAAAAATTTTTTTTTTTAAAAACATTACAGCAAAACCTTCAAATAGTCGAGATTGGTTAAGGAACACAAAAACTTTACATACCGGGAAAAAAAAACGTTTAAAAGTTTAACATCCTAGTTAAACTACAATAGTCTATTGCATGGGCTATTGCATAGCTAATTGCCTGGGCTATTATAACGCTAATATTTTATTACCACAGTAAATAATATAAACTATACAATAAACAATATTTTATCAGTTAATAATTAGAAATTTAATAATTACAAGTTTAATTCAATTAAATTATATTCAGCTATAAATTTAAAATAAAAGAATGAAAAAATTGGTACGCGAACATATTTTTAAAATGTTCCTTTTCTGACCACACTATTCGTAAATCCATCAAAAAAGATGTTTCATTAATGACCATATCTAAGTAATAAAAATTTAAAAATGCATATTTGTGATTTTTATATGATCACTGACTATTTGTGCCTTTGTTTTAAAAATTGACTGTGTCTTTCCATAGTTTGAGGCAGCTCTTGCTTAAGTTCAGTTTCAAGTATTGTTTGAAAATTTTTGTACGCTTCTACTTTTGCATTTACTTCTTCGTTTTTTATTAGAGTTTTTTTCAAGCAATCTTTGGTATATAAAAGTGGGTTTCTTCCTTGATCAATGTATTGAAAAATATCTAAAGGAACTTCAACATCAGCCACCATTTTTTTGCTCTTTTCAATACTCTGCATACTCTCAATTAGTGAGTTGATTTTAGAGTTTAAAAAATCTTGACAACCTGGCTGAAAGTCACTGACCATGATTCCTATTTGCCTAGAAGATTCAATAAACTCTTCAATACTCTGTTGCAGTTCATCATATTTGTCACTAGATTCTTCAACTTCTCCCATATTTAAACCATATTACTTACTTATTATATACGATGCAACAATAATTAGAACACGGCTGTAACAACGGCTTATATATACTGTAACAAAAAGAATTTGTATATAATGAAGTAATAAAAACTTATATAACTTATTATTATTATAATTATTTTTAAATGAAGAAAATTAATGAAAGCTATTGTATATTTCATATTCAATTAATATTTAATAGTTATTTAAAAAATGTAAAAACTTTAAAAATAAGTATTAATGAAGTTAAAAATATTTTTCTATTTTGATGCTAAGTAAATATAGTAACAAGTTTAAAATACAAAGAAAAAGCACAAAAAAGGGTGAAGAAAAAATTATAACAAATGTACAACTAAGTACAAACAATTCATTATAAAAGATATCAAGCAGGTAAAGAGAAACTCAATTTTAAATATTGTTTAATTAAATTTAAATTATTGTTTAACTAAAATATTCTCAAAAAAATAAAATAAAATAAAAAATAAAAATCTTAAGGATATATGTTACTATAATCATTTTGACATCAAAAAATATATCTTAAAATATTATAAATAATATCTGCGTGGTCTTTTAGAAGAAAAAGAAAATCTTCATGGAAAAATGCAATTCGTTGCTTTCTTTTCAAATATTCATTTTTTATAACTAGAAAATACAATGCCGAATGTATACTGTACATCTGAAAATGTTTTTTGAAACAGTCATTTAAGAGTTTAACACTACAAGAGCATTGTTGGAAATAGAAACTGTTTTATCGAAAAAGAAAATTTTCATATGACTCTTGATTGCTATTGTTTCCACCTCGTCCTCTTCGACCACGATTTCCTTGCCACCGTCCACGATTATTGCCACGGTTATAACCTTGTTTATTTCTTCCTAAATATGTTTCACTCATTTGAACGCCTTTCCGCTTTTCAGGCAAAGAATAAACTTTCTTTGCATCTCTAGATCCTTTTGGCGAGAGATTATCTAAAGTAATGGGTGTAATTCCAGCACGCTTTCGCTTTTCCTCAACACTTTCATCTACTGTTTGAATCGGACTTGACTTTGATTTCCATGATGCAATTACAACACTTTTGTATGAAGGAGGGTTGTGGAGAAGATCTTTAATTAAAATATTTATATTATTACATGCAGCTAAATTAAGCAATTTTAACTTATTTTCTTCTTCTGCTAACTCAAGTTTTGTTTTGTTCTTCAAGAGCAATTTGGATTGTCGTGTATAGATTTGAACCATTCGACCAAAATACTGCAAACGTGACCTAAAGTCTTTTAACTTAATTGCTGATGCATCGCTTGCTAAAAATAAAGGATGTTTTGCACCTAACTTATGAAATGCATACATCCAACATTCAACAAACAAAAAATTTAATTTTGCAACAACGTTTTCTTCTATCTCCTCCTCAGTAGTTGCAACTTGAATAGGCATGAGGTTAATCAAACTCTGAAAAATACCGTCAATGTGCTCTTTGGCATTCTCTTCAGTTGCGTATTCACTCAGCTCTACTAAAAGCTTCATTACTTCATATTTATAATCACTAGCTTCTACTGTTATATTATCAAGAACTGGCAAAACTTTTTTGAATAAATAATCCAGATATTTAGCAGAAGAAGCTCCTTTAATAAAAAATGGTGATGCCTGACGAGTGCAGGTTATTAGACGATCAAGACTTTCAGGCTCGTTAGGCTGAAAATCTTTATCTAATTCAGCCTGCTCTGTAATAAGATCTGCAAGATATTGAGGCTTATTAGCAATTGACTTCACTTTAGTAAGCATGGAAATAATAGATGTAAACTCATCACCAGTAACATCGCTCAAAATTTTCTTCACTTCTTGAAGAATTATTTGACCTGATTTTTCATCTTTTCCAATAATACCTAAATAATACACTTTTACAAACTAACAATTATGAATTTAAATTTAAATAATAATAATAAAAAAAGCATTTAAATAAGTTTCAGAATATTACATAAAAAACCTGAAGTATTTTTACAACTGGATGCCCCTCCTAGCAGTAACCTGCTTTGCAGATCAAGACTGAGTATTTTTATTGTGATAACTTATTTTAGGCAGGCTTTGCTAGGAAGTGTTATCGCAGCTTCCATTTTAATGGCGATTACCATACACATTCACTAACTTTACATAAAACAAAAACTTTTTTATTTTGATATCTTAAAGTTATGCTTTGATATCATTTATGTGACGTTTATCCAGAAAATATTAAGTTGTTAAAAAAAGTTAAAGAAACTGATATTTATTATTTAAATATTTTTTTGATTAAAAGATTTCATATTAAATATGATTTTAATAATTACAAATGTAAATTTAGTTTCGAAAAAATGTAAAATGTTAGTACAACATAATGTTAAATTTAGTTTGAAAGGAATGTAAAATAGCTTTGCAATATTTATTAAAGAAGTTTTTTTCTATACATCTGCTAACTAATTTGCTATGTAAAACATTTGCTAACTAACTTATTACGTAAAAGTCTCTCCACCATAGATTAAAATGTGTGAAAGCAAATAAAAAACTTTTTTTTTTCTTTTGAAAAGGGAGAAGTGTTTTTGTTGAGGAGAATTCTTTTGGAAATGAATTTAAAATAAGAAATAAATTATAAGGAAATATAATTTTTTTTTAAATACAGAATTTAGATTTTATCAGCAACTTTTGTTATATCTGTTTAAAGAATGAAAAAAAAAAATGTTAGGGTTAAATTTTTTTTGACTAAAACAAAAGAATAAATACATATCCAGAAAAACTAATTTTTTTAATTTTAGTCAAAGCTCGCTTTCTGCGTTTTGTTAAAGGCCAAAAAGTTAGCACATATACACCGTAATCTACAGACTTGATGATTTATTTAAACACGTTTTATTCCTAAGAGTTTTAGTACATGACATCACTGAATTTTTTGTTTGTTTACATAATCGATCATCATGTACTAAAACTTTTAGTTTTAGTACATGATGATTGATTTAGTGACATCATGTACTAAAACTTTTAGGAATAAAACACGTTTTAATAAATTATCAAGTCTGTAGATTGCGGCATATAATATGCTGACTTTTTGGCCTTCAACAAAACAGAGAAGCTTGGTGAGCTTTGACTAAAATAAAAAAAGTTAGTTTTTTGTATACATTTATTCTTTTGTTTTAATCAAAAAAATTCAGCCCGAACATTTTTTTTAAATCATTCTCTTTAATATGAACACAACACATCTCAGAGGTTTGGAGCCCCTTTAAATGATATTTTAGCACGGTTCAAAATCAAATTTAACTATAATGTAGCACTTTAATTACGCTAATGATGCAATGCAACTTTTATTACTGTAAATATCAAAGTTGAGTTAAAGTTAACATTTATCAGCGTTAAGCATTTTTGTAACGCAGCAAAATCTCATATCAAGGCCGGCTTATAAAAGTTGCCTTCACCTCAGGCTAATAAGCCTTACTTGCTCATATATGTATATATGTATCTAGTGTATGTATAAGTGTATCTGTGTTTATAAATACTTATAGGACAGACGAGCCACACTGTTCTAATACATTATGGGGAAGATATACACTGTTCTTATATATTTTGCACTCTTTGAGTGCTCACTTTAAATTAAACAGTTTTTTTCAGGAAAAGTAAAAAAGCAAAGAATGAAAAACAAAAATGTTTTTTGCTGTAAATGAGTTTTTTATATTTACATTATACAAACCCAAACCTTAACACTCAGTCAATGTATTTACTAATGGAGTATTGGTGCATACACGCAGATGGCTGTTTCAATATGATCTAATATGATCCAAATTCTTATGGTATAGAAAAAAAAGCTATATGAAGATATGATATATCTTCATATAGTTTTTTTTATCTATATGAAAATTTAAAAATTATTAAAAGTTGATCCTCAATTTATAAATATAAACCACCGATTCGATCGGTGGCACATTTGTAAAAAAATTAATAAATTGTCAAAACTCAAAGCGGTGGGCAGTTGATTTATTGGGTGCAACTGTCAACAATATCTGGTGGAGTATTGAAACATCTAAAAAGAAATTCCCCAATTAATATATGAAAATTTTTTAACTATTCTGTACCATTCCAAAATATATATATATATGGGATGGATGTAAGTGTTTTATAAAATGAGAGCACAACACAAATAGAAGCGGAAGAAGAATGAACACAAATAGAAGCGGAAGAAGAATGAGATTAGTTAGATTTAACTTTAACTCTTATTAATTTTTAATTAAATAAAAAAATAAAACTTTAAAGGATGTAATGGAACACCTTACTGATTAACTAGATGAAAATGCTGCATTATCTACTTTTTTTTTGGACTAATTTATTTTGGTTTGTCTTTTACTTATCTTTAAAGGTGAGTTTCCACTCATCCATTTTTTCACGGGAATGGGAAAGGGAAGGGAAAAATAATCACATGGACATGCGTATTATAAGTTTTAAATTGTCCGAAGTAAAACTACGCATGCTCTACGCATGACGTGATAATTTTTTCCTTTAAAAGGGAAAAATAATCACGTCATGCGTAGAAAAGCGGATGAGTAGAAACTCACCTTAAGTTGTTACTCAACACTTTTATCATTGATTTATAAAATCAAAGATCATCTAAACCATATTTTGAAAATCCAGAAAATTGTTTAATTAAAATATCCAGAAATATATTCCGGAAAATATCCGGAAGAGTTGAGTTGTTTCTAACTTTGTTTTCGAACTTTTCTCAATTTTGTATCAGTGCTGAGTGAAAAAGCTTAAAATATATATATATATATATTTCTTTACAAAAATATATACCTAAACTTGCATTTTTATGGTAAACGTTTTGTATATCCACAAAAACTAAAAATTGAGAAAAACATCTGGAATTCTAGAAATATCTGGAAAAAGAAAATCCCTGTAAAATGCAACCTTTATCAAAATCATTTAAAATAAATCAATTTTAAATCATTTGTTTTGAATAACATTTTATTATTATATAATAATTAAATTAACGATTTTATTTATTATTTATGTATTTATATAACAATTTATATATTGATTATATTAACATTATTTTAAGTGACTTGTGAACAATATTTTAATAATTTTATTCAAACTCAATTCAAAATAAGTTTGCAAATGTTTTTAAATTTACCAAGTAGATAGATTAAATCAACTTAACTACCAATATTTTATAATAAAAATTTAACAATTCATCAAATATTCCTAATTTATACTATAATTTATGGAAATTAATGATTAATAAATGGGTAAAAATATATGAAATCATCCAGACCATGGCACCCTTACATCTCAGAATTTGTTTATTTTTACACCACTTGCAGTCCATATCAAAAAAATAATAACTGTGAAAATTTTAGTTAAAAATACCAATGGGTTCTATAGATATTGTCACTTGAAATAATGCTGACTCAGCATTTTAGTGATTTTCTGAAGCGACTACAAAGCAACTTTGACATATAGTATCTTCATAATGGCTTGGGGAAATTTCCTAAAATTTGGTACTCTAATAGATTTTAACTTGAGGAATCCAAAAATAGCACTCTTAAGACTCGATTATCTCAAGAAATGCCTCATTTATCCAATTTTGTTCAAAATTATTGACTTGTAAATTAGTGATTTTGGAAGGTAAAAAAAAGACTGTGGCCCAAAATCCAGAGTAAAAATTTTAATTGTATATCATTATTTCATCTTAGGTCTACTGAAAAAAAATAGATTCATCAATTGTCTCTCTAATACATGATCAAAATTTGCATTTAAAAATGGTGTCTTTTTAGAAAAATTTAATTTTTGTAACAAAAGCAATTAAAATATTTTTTAAAACATTTATTTGAATAAAACATCAAATAGTGTCATTTATTGAATAGTTTAGGACATTTATAGTCATGGGCCAAGGGAGATACCCTCCACTCCCACGGAGGCCCCTACGCCCCCTCCCCCAATCTCCCTAGATTTTTTTTTTTTTTTTTTTTTTTTTTTTTTGCTTAAAATGAATAAATAATGCAAAAACATACAATTTAATTTTAATTTTGAAAAAAAAAATTTCATTATTTCAAATTGGTGGCTTAAAACCTCCTTTTACATAAAAAACAAACATAAGTTTTGTTTTGTTCTTTTTGAAGGTATTTACTTGTTTGTATTTTCTTAAAGAATTATTTTTAATTTTATAGTTTTTATATTATTTTGTTAGGTAATAAATAATAAAAATAATTAATATGTAGAAATGTGACATTGGAAAAAGTCTTAACATTCATTGCTACAAAACTGGATTTTCAAGAAAACAAGGTTTTGTTCAATTTAAAGATCTTCCTTGTGAAAAACAAGAAGAAATAATATGGCGAGCAAATTTAAAGGAAAAATATAGTTCAATAAGAATTATATGTTGTTATCATGAGCAATTCTATGGAAAATATTTTGAGAGAAAAATTACAAAGTGTTGCAATCCTTTTGGAACACACAAGGAAAGTAAAAAAATTGCTATAAAAGGTAATCTTACCTTATTTACAACAGAATTGATATGGAAAATTAAAAGAAAACAATTTATTATTTATAAAAAGTTTTATAATTTCAGTTATTTTAACAACGTAAAACTAAATTTGTTTTTTAGGTAATATAAAGATTTCCATAGACATGGCAAACTATTTGCAAAAAAATAATGTTTATGTAACCCCAGGTTGGAAATTCTGCAGTAAATGTTACAAAAAAGCAATAGAAACTGATGAAGATTTAAATTCACAGGAAGAATGGGAATCAAAAAGTGAGAAAAAAATTAAGTTAGATACCACTATAGAATTGCTTGGAATCTCACCGGTCAAACTAAAAAGTCTTTCAAAACACAGCAAATTGCCTGTAGCAAAACAAAAGTTTGAGAACA